GGGCACTGCGGGCTTGAAATGCAAGAATGTGGCGGCAGTCGTGCAGCCAACACTTGTTTAACTAAAGGTATTAGGTTGTCCGGAAAGTTCTAGCGTTTCGAGTGTTTCACTTTAAACGATCATAACTTTCTTAACACTCATCGGATTTAATCCAAATAAGCACCATTCGAATCAGCACACTTTTGCCAATGTGACAGCAGTCGAGAAATCCCATCAAAAAAACTGGGTGGTCGAGAGTTCACGAAATCCACGAAGGCTTTTTTGCCTGGTCCTGATTGATGAAGTATTTTCCAGCAAGGGAGTTCTGAAAATGTTGAAAAGGTGATAGTCGGTTGGCGAAAGGTCTGAAGAATATGGCGGTTGAGGTAGAACTTCAACCCCCAATTCGTTCAATTTATGGATAGTGATTTGTGAAACGTGTGGCAAAAGAATCGGACCCTTTCTTTTGATAAGTGTTGGCTGCAGCTGACAAAATTTTCGGTACATTTCTTCACAGTAGGGTTCTGCTGTGATGGTTTGGCCTGGTGATAAAAAGTTATAGTGGATCACACCAGCCGATGACCACCAAGCCGTGACCAGAATCTTTTTTCGTGAGGGTTCGGCTTTGAAAATTACCTCGGTGGTTCGTCGAAATCCAACCACTGTCCGGAACGTCTCCTGTTATCATACATGATCCATTTTTCATCACAGGTGACAATTCGGTTCAAAAACGGGTCGTTTCTGTTGCGCAAAAGCAGTGAAGAAGAAACCTCGAGACGTGCCAATTTCTGCCGGTCACTCAAATTGTGGGGCACCCACTTATCGAGTTTTTTCACCTTCCCAATGCGTTTCAGACCATCTGCAACACTGGATTTGCCAACGCCTAGCTTTTCTGCAATCTCTCGAACTGTTTGGGATGGGTCAGCCTCCAAAATCCCCTTAAAATCCTCGTCAGATATTGCTTTAGGTCGACCGCTATGAGGTTCATCTTCAAGGCTGAAATCTCCAGAACGAAATTTGTTGAGCCATTGCCGCACAGTGCTTTCTCTAGCACTATTGGGCCCCCACACCTGGTTAATTTGTTGAGCTGTTTCGATTGCGGATTGCCCCAATTTATAGTCGAAGAAAAAATCCGAAGTGCTCTTTTCACATGCTTGAAAAAATCTTGAAAAAAGGGGGTTCATCAAGCAATGGTGAAACGGCAGTTATACCATCAGATAGCGCAAAGAATTCTCTTCAGGATGTACTACTGAGACGCAAGGGAGAATGAGTTTTTAATCAGCATGTTCAAAAAATAGTGCACAAAACGTGTAGAACTTTCCGGACAACCTAACAGAAGAGCAGCAACTGTGGAGGTGAGATCTCAAAAGGCTCCAGGATCGTCTAATGTGAGAGTCCGCTGGTTTTGAAGCGCAGGGCAGAAAAACTACAAAGAAGCTCAGTGAAAAAGTGGAAGGACTCAGTCAAGGGACCTCACGGAAGTCGAGCCACAGCAGGAGATACCTCGAAAAGCATAAAGTGACTGCGGCCATTAAGAAGAGCGGACGACAACGACGCGGCATTACTATTAGGAAAAGAACATAAAGGGCTGGAATGAATATGCAAAGAAGCTATGGATTGTGGATCGGACTCATTGTCAGTGATTTTCAAACCTTTCGACATCATATTTGTCCTGGATTTAGAACCTTAAAATGTTACCTGTGTGCGATATCGTGGATGGTCTTGTAGTGCTCAATAAGTTGAAAGCAACCGTATCGTTGTCCAAGTATGATCTCTATAGTCTCCTTGACACCAACCTGAGTGAGAAAAAAGTTTTGTTTGACAATTAAACCACTTTTGCCTACTCCACGCGGATAACTCCCTTTTCAATCGCATGGAAACATCGTTAATCATCGAACACGTCGCCCCTCGCCCCCCCCCACCCCTTCGCGTCCTCCTTCCCCAACTGAATGGCACTGTAAAGCAGCTGATTCAAACTGAGGAGTACCGCAGTGGACAGCGATAAGCCCCCTCTCGTTGGACAACGGCATTCTTCTTTGGAGTGAAGTATTCGTGAAGTATTGTGAAACCAAAAATCGGCATTGTAAAGTACTAGGCAATAATTTTGCAAGCGTAAGTAATTTTCTTTGAACCTTCTCCATTCGAGAAATATCTTTTAATGGATTTCTGATGGGATATTTGAAAGAAATACATGCAAGTTTTCATGCTCTGGAAGATCATGTGATTGTCTATACCAAGAAATATATTTTTTTGCATATAAGTCTTTCCCTTGTTTACAGAAGCAAAAGCAACTTAAACTCGGGTACTTCTTGGAGAGACCGGGATTTCGCCTCTCTCCAAAAAGCACTACAGTTTGTTCAGAATGCTCCTTGTGGCAGAGATATTTTTGATGGAATTTCGATGAAAGAAATTCTGAGCTACACAGTAGTAATTGGCTCCATCTCTGTCTTTGTACAAAATATTCAGGAACCACAGTATGTATCCAGAACAATTAGTCTTGTTGAATTCGATGAAAATTAGTTTGACGGTCATCGACCGATCTGAATGTAGGAAATGCATTGCGCATCTACGAAGAGACAGTACAAAGTGCAACTTCTAATAGTAAGCAGTTTTCTCTATGTGTGCAGCTGCTTTCGTAGGGCTCGGAAAGGTCGACAACCTCTCTAACGAAATTATTTGTGCTTTTTTAGTCACCTAAGTATTTACCGAATTTTGCTAGTCGTCATTCTAATATTTTGTATGCTATGAGCTGGCTCCATTCCCCGAAGCAGCGATGTCGACGACTTTACGCTCTTTGATGCTGAACGACTCCCTGTACTTGCGACCTCCCTCTTCAGCGTCCAAGAAAGCCCCCCCCCGTCCACCCCCCCGCCGCGCCATGGACAAACATTCAAATCAGACGTTATTATGCTTTAAATTCCAAAGCTCATCACAACCAGAGCACGAAGATGCGATTGTTGACCCCGCGCTCTGATGTTGGACGTTAACAGCCAGCGCCCGCGTTCAAATTTAGGTGAGTGTTGCGGCTCAGGCGGGTAGGTAAATAGGCAGGGTACCAGAAACCTATTTACGAAGAAAAATCGAAAAGAAAACATGCAAAATGCCCTATAAGGAGTTTCATACCGAATAGCGGTTGTACGTGCTTAAGGCGAAGAGAAGGAGTGGTTGCACGAGTTCTCACTTGTTGATTTCACCAGGAAAGGTCAACAGGTCAGCCTGGCCATTTGCAATGAGATGCACATCACTGCACTCATCTTGACAAGGTGAACTCAGAACTGTCTTCAAAATTTGCAGAACGATTCTCTGAGCGGAGTTATGAGGCGTTTATATCCCCGCATGTCGTTTCGCATGCTATCGCGAGGAAGCGTGGAAGCGTCTTAACATTTATGTATGGAATCATGCTGAAACGTGGTAGCAGAGCGCAACGGGTAAGGAGCGGGTTTCTTAGGCGAGACGTCGTAGGATCGGTTCCGAGGCAAGTGCATTTTTTTTGCATTTGTGAACATAGCCGACAAAACTTCTACATCTCCTGCCCTCGGCCTGCACTACCCTTTAAGGGGAAACCCTGCAATCAGTCTTTTTGAAATGGCGGGGGGGGGAATCCCAATGCGGATTGGGAAGAATAACCTCTGCTTGTACCCCTCGTAACACGCGTCACACGGGTTTTTACAGTGAAATACCATCATATTCATGTTCAGCGGGTTAAATTACCCCTAAGTTTCCAGCCGAATCTGATTTTCCGACCTCACTTGGAAAATGTGGGCTATTCCATGAGGTGCAGAGATTGGCGCCGGCTCACCTGCCATCGGATGACTGTCTCGGAATGGATTTCCTTTCGAATAGCAAGAAAAATGTTTTGCTAGACGGCAGCCATATAAGTAAGCAGGTACTGCCCTGTTCTCGACAACGACACTGACGGAGGCAGTTATTTCGTCGAAGACCGGTCACCACCAGGTATGTAGCGAATAGTATCGATGTGGCTATCAGTCAGCAGTGACTGATCACATACACCATCTTTTCGAACGTTCATCCAAAAGCTCCGTTTTGCTAAGGTGGTCTCTGGGTTATACGAGTCCCCTGAAGCGCCGAAGATGATACCTGTTCTGCGCGAACAGCACTGTGAGTCGCGCTACATGTGCCAACGCTTCGGCGCCAGCGCGCCCGTAAGAAGAAAAACAGTAAAGAAAACCTCCATAACTCCGCTCAGAGAATCGTTCTGCAAATTTTGAAGACAGTTCTGAGTTCACCGTGTCAAGATGAGTACAGTGATGTGCATCTCATTGCAAATGGCCCTTTCCTTGGTCAGCTGTTTTCCTTATCACCTCACTCTCACCACACGACGTGGAGAGAAGCAGCAATGGAACAACTGCACCATCAGGCAACCATTAGAAATGAAGTTGGGCGTCGTGGGTCGCAGGTGCGGGGCGGTCGACTCTTTACTAGCGATAGGCGCTATCCTCTTGCCTTTGTGAGATGCAAAACTAGTACATATTCTGAATCTTATGGGGAGGGCTATGATATCCAGAAAGGGCGTAGGAACATTACTGACGTGGCGCTGCCTTTAAGCCAACTAGGCGAGGGAATACTCTGCCACTTCGCGCACGATGTCGCGACACTGCAGTAATGATGTACACCCTTTTCAAGGGCGACCTTCCTTGCGCAGCTCTCATCTTAAACATTCTACCAGCTAACGAGACAGGAAAACTGATCAGTCACTGGCAAGAATTCATCATCTATACCCCAGTCCTTGTGCGAGTTCAACCTCTCTCTCTCTCTCTCTCTCTCTCTCTCTCTCTTCGTAATGAACCAAACGCTCTCTTCTCTTGCATAACACCAAATTCATTTCTGCGCTCACATCGCTTGGAACTATTGTACGAAGAACGAAGGTGGCTGCAAAGATTTTCTATGTGCACTTCTACTGACATAAATAGGCGCTGGATGGGAAGCTGTCATCATAGGCTTCAATCAGAACACTCATTGAGACAGCAAGGACAACATTTTGCGAGAACACCATCAAAAAATCAACCTTGGACTGGAAGTATGCCTAAAAAATAGTTAGCTAGTGAGAAAAGAAATACCCTTCTCTCTGTCGATATCCTGCTGAGAATAACATCAACGGCTGCGTACGTGCCACATCTTGTGGCTCCACTAGGGCAGACTAATATTGTGCAGCCTTTCCTTCCCAGCTTTGCTTCAATTTCCTTCACCTTAAAGCCATTTGTGAATCGTGTTTTTAATAATAATTTCACGGAGTGAATTACATTTTGCCTGAATTCTCCGAGATCTGGTACAGGGATATCCGCTTGCCATGCTCTGTAGTGCACAAGTGGTACACGCATTAAATCCCTACCGCTGAAGGTAATTACCAGTTGCAGAACTTCTAGTTC